TCAGGGTTCTTTTTGTCTTTGATAAAGGACTTCTGGATAGTTAACTGGCTAGGAAGAACTACGATATTTATGAAAGTAAAGGAATTGACTATAAAATTATCTACTGAAAGTACAGTACAGGACTAAAACTAATCATATTGAAAGTGCATTGCAATGAAAAGTAATATTGTCTTGAAATGCTGTGTTTGCGTTGAGCCGCCCTATTATGTCACAACATAATGACCTATTTATAGAATGAAAATATAATCAGTTACAATAGTAGTTCCGAGCAGTTCCATGCCTCCAAATGCTTTCAATTGTCCAAGCCATGAAATCGTGCCTTTGATTCTTCTTAGAACTTCCATGTTCCAAACATATAATCGTGCTTTTGATTCTTTTAGAACTTCATGTTCTATTCATGCAATTGTGCCTATGATGCCGTTATTTCCCAAACAAATTGTGCGATATCTTTTTGTCTAAGCAAATGGCCATTACTCTTTGTTCCACGATAGTGGTAGTAGTGGCCCATGTTAAAATGGTTAGAGTTTTATATCATGGCTTTTGAAGAAAACCAACCTCCACATCTTGAGAACTCTAATCTCCACGTCTAAAACTCCAATAATTGACACGTTCCTTTAACCAAGTCATATCCCTTACGTGGCTTTTCCTCTGATTTAATTCAACTGCCAAAGTCCCTATCTTCATGGGCTTCTTTGAATCAATTGTTGGTATCTGTAAAATAAATCTCTTATACTCATGCCCCACGTGTCTTCTTCCAATTGGAGAAGTTGTTTTAGAGGAAAAGATGCGGGGAGAAACCTTTTATAATGGGCTACCGTAGTCAAAACGGGTCTATCCTTTAATAATGGGCCGCCATTTGCTAATTGGCCTCCATTATTAAGGAGTTTGACCCATTGATACTAAAGTCAAGTGGTTGTACTTCAATAATAGAAAAAGAATTTCCTTTTTTAGTTAATGTGGGACATTTACTTAATAGGAAATAGTTTATTTGAAAAGATACTAATCCAAAAGGAACGGGGGAGGCTCTGAATTATGGATCTCTTGATTGTGGGTTATGACTATCCATGGATCTAATAATTTAGAGCTCCATCCTGCTGATTTTATACCCAATAGGTTATATTTTAATAACAAAGGGAATTTTTCCTTTTTGGTCGATGTGGGACCCTGGTTTAAAAAGGAAACATCTTTATAAGATGGTGAGGGGAGTGTGTGGAGACCTCTGACAATGGGGCATCTGATAGTGGGACTACTAGCAATGGTTCCTATTATCAAGGGGTCCCACTCACTGATTTGTAAGTAAACCATGTATGTTATAAAAATAACATAGAGGTTTATTTTTAAATCGATGTGGTACATTGTTTGAAGATAGAATAGTTTTGTCTTTTAGAAACAAAACACAAGTGTGAAGGGGAGCACCTGATAGTGGGTCCTTTGTGGGTTGCCTACTATTTGGAGGTCCCCTTCACTGTTTATAAGTCGTATTATTTTTATTTAATTAATAATTAGGAGTCTTATTTTCAGTCAATGTGGGACTTTCGAAGAAAAGACCAAAGACAACTTTATTAACTTGCCAAAATAAAGTACTGAAAAACATTGTATGATTACTTTATTGAAAATACCTTTTCAATTGCATCACGTTCCTTGGTTTGGCCATTTCAGTGCCATCCAGGTGTTGAAGTCTGTATGCTCATTTCCCAATCACATATGCAATCTGGTATGGACCTTCCCAATTAGGTTCCAATTTGGCGACATACTTTTCTGACTTCAAAAGCACTAGGTCTCCTGGGTTGAAGCTTCTATGTTTGACCCTTTTATTGTAGCTATTTGCCAGCTTCTGTTGGTACGCAGCTAGCCGAATGGTTGCTGCTTCTCTTTTCTCCTCCAATAGATCTAGATTGTGCTCTAGAAGTTGATCATTTAACCCCTGTTCCCAAGCTAAGCTTTGGATGGTTGGTGTTACCACTTCAGTTGGGATTATAGCTTCTGTTCCGTAAGCTAAAGAGAAGGGGGTTTCCCCAGTGGGGCATCTCCGAGTGGTTCTGTACACCCATAAGACATTTGGCAATTCTTCTAGCCACTTTCCCTTCTTATCTTCAAGCCTCTTTTTGATGCATGCAAAGATTATCTTATTAGTTATCTCTACCTGCCCATTGCCTTATGGGTGGTACACAATTGACATTTTTTGGTTGATCCCATACTTATCAAAGAAACGCTGAGTACGCTGATTGAACAGATTCGTGCCATTATCCATAATGATGGATTTTGGGATTTTAAATCTACATATTAGATTGTTTTAGATGAACTTTCTTACTAGAATGTTAGTTATACTTGCGTATGATTCTGCCTCTACCTATTTAGTGAAATAGTCAATGGCTAACAGGACGTACCTTTTCTATGATGCGGCTGGCGGCAGAGGTCCCACTGTGTCCATCCCCCATTAGGCGAATGGCAAAAGGATACTCATTGTGTGTAGCTCTTCTAGAGGTTGATGGACGAGGGGAGCATACCTCTGTCATTTATCGCATCTTCTGGAGTACTTTTCAGCTTCTCTGCTATGTAAGGCAAAAAATAACCCTGAGTTAAAGCTTTGTGGGCTAGTGATCTGCCCCCAAAGTGATTTCCATATTCTCCTTCGTGCAGTTGCATTAGAACTTCTCTAGATTCTGTGGAAGTCAGACATCTGAGGTAAGGCCATGAGTACGATCGCCTGAAGAGCTGTTCTCCTATGATTGAGTATTTAGCAGCTTTTATTCTTAATTGTTGAGCCACTTCTTTGGAATTAGGGAGTTTTCCTCTTTCGAGATATGCTAGAATGGGGTCTATCCAGCTTGGCTCCCAAGGAATGACTAGTACTGGTATCCTTTTTTCGATACTCGGTGTATCCAAAATATCAATGGGGACTACCCTGATCAATAACTCATTTGCTGAAGATGCTGCGCAGGCCAGGTGATTGGCAATCGGGTTTTCTTCCCTTGGGATTTGCTTGAATTCTATTATGTCAAAATGTTTTGCTAGCTTTTCCACCTCTTCTCTGTATGCGTTCATTCTTTCTTCTCTAAAGGTGTATTCACCTGTCACCTATCTGGTGATGAGGTTTGAGTCACTATGGGCTCGAAGGTGTTTTACCTAAAGCTCTTTGGCCAGCCTAAGCCCTGCCAACGGTGCCTCGTATTCTGCTTCATTGTTTGTGGCTGGAAATTCCAGTTGGATTACTTGTTGGAGTCTGGTACCCTCAGGAGTTCTAATTTCCAACCTTGCTCCCGCTCCATTTTGGCTTGAAGAGCCATCTACATATAATTCCTAGTAGGGATTTTCTGTGATTGGCTGTTCTTCTCCTAGATTAGTATCCAAGAGGAAATCTGCAACCACTTGTCCCTTCTTTGCCGTGCATGGCTCATATTAGATATCGAAGGAGCTCAATTCAATCACCCATTTGGTAATTCTACCTGAAATGTTTGGCTTACTGAGAATTGCTTTGATTGGATGTATTGTAAGGACTATTATTTGATAAGTTTCGAAGTAATGCCGGAGCTTTCTTTTTGCCTGGACCAAAGCGAGAATGACTTTCTCTGCCATCAAATACCTGCTTTCTGAATCCGTCATGGTTTTGCTGGAATAGAAAACTGGGTGCTGTTTCTTATCCACTTCTCTTACTAGGGCCGAACTGGTCGCCGACTAGGATACTGCTAGATAGAAGTACAACGGTTCTTCAAGTTCAGGGGTAGATAGAATCAAGGGGTTTGTCATGTACTCTTTGAGTTTTATGAGAGCTTCTCACTGCTTTGCCCCCCAAATGTCTCCCTTTTTTGCCTTGATGGCGTCGAAGAACGGTTTGCACATGTCTGACAGTCTAGATATGAAACGGCTAAGAGCTGTTATTCGTCCAGTGAGGACTTGGATGTCCTTCATGGTTTAAGATTCTTTGCTCTATAACAGTTTTGTTAGTTGAGTGGGGCTAGCCTTTATTCCTCTTTTGTTTACCAAATGGCTTAAGAATTGGCCTGAGGATACCCCGAACGAACACTTTGCTGGATTTAGCCTCATTTTATTTTTTCGAAGAGTGTTGAATACATCTTACAGGTGCTGCAGATGATCTTTCTTTTCCCAACTTTTTATAACCATGTCGTCTATATGAGCTTTGACCGTTCTACCGATCTGCTTTCCGAACACCTTATTGACTAGCCGCTGGTAAGTTTCCTCTGCGTTTTTCAGTCCGAAGGGCATTACCTTATAGCAATAGGTTCCGCGTTCGATGATGAAAGAAGTTTTTTCTTCATCCGATGGGTTTATCGGGATCTGGTTGTAACCTGAATAAGCATCAAGGAAAGTTAGTTTCTCATACCCGGTCGAACATCCACCATCTGATCGATCTTTTGGAGTGGAAAGTTATCTTTTGGGTAAGCTTGGTTCAGGTTGGTGAAGTCAATGTACACCCCCCACTTACCATTTTTCTTCTAAACAACAACTACATTTGACAGCCATTGGGGGTATTGGACCTCTCGGATGAATCCTGCTTCCAGAAGTCGGTTGACCTCTTCAGCAATGATTCTATTCCTTTCTAGGGCAAATCTTGTCTACTTTTGATTTACTGGGTGGTGGCTCGGGTCCACATTCAGGCTGTGACACGCTATTTCTGGGTCAATTCCTAGTGGTTCCAAGCGAAGATGTCAGTATTCTGCCTTAAAATTTTTGTTAGTTCTTCTTTTTCTTGGGCTGATTGGAGTGTTCCCATATAAGTTAATATGTGCTCATCCCCTGCGATTATCTGCATAGCTTCTAGGGGTTCTTCGGTCGAGTGTTCTTCTTCTGGCTCCTTATTCTCCTCAGGAGAAGAGGAGCCTGGTAATTACTATTTCAGCAATTGTTTTCCCTTATCGATTTATCGGATAATAGTTTAGTAGCACTGGCTGCCACCTGATCCCCCATATATCAATAATTTCCCGCCCGTTGGGGCCAATGAATCTCATGACTTGATGCAGAGTTGATGGGACTCCTTCCATTCAATGGATCCATCCTCGACCCATTAGCAAGTTGTAGGTCGGGTGGATGTCCACAATCACAAAATTTTCCTTCAAATTTCTTTTGGCCGCAGTGACCGACAATGTGATCACGCCAATAGGTTCAACCTTTCTTCCATCAAACCCTACCAAGGGGTTTCCAGAGGGGCAGACTTGATCTAGGGCCAGCTTCAGTTGGTCGAATGTCCATTTCGTTATGATATTGGCACTACTGCTAAGGTCAATGAGTACGCGCCTGACTAAGTAGTTCGCTGCTATTAGGCTGATCATAAGTGGATCTTCATGTGGATGTTGTACTCTGTTAAGGTCTCCTTCATAGAAGGAAATTTGTGCGAAGCCTAGCCTGTATTCGACTGCATTAATTTCACCGACCCTTCGTAGTTTATGCGCTTGCTTGAGTTGAATCATATAGGAATTCTCTTTTTGTTCGTCCTCTTCCGGGCGGCCATGGATCATGTTGGTAACCCGATTATGTTGATTATCTGCTGCAGCTTTCGGGGCTAATCTGGCTCGCTCGGACTGCCTCCGCTGGCCTAAGTTGGCTAGATAATCAGCTAATTAGCCTTTGGTTAGTAACCATTCCAGGGTTACTCCTATTAAACTAGACGAAAATATTTTGCATATGAACAGATCGTTTTGTGCCTCTAGGGTCATCTCTTGAGTGTAGTGATCAAGGTACTGGAGGGGGTCTCCAGTTATGTTGAATTTGATGAACTTTGGTATCGTGAACTTTTAAGGCCTTGCAACCTATTCTAATTTGTCTGTAAAAGGAGTTTTAACTATTGAGGTGGTGAACTCTCTCGCCATGTCTTCTGGTGTTTGGGCCTTCGGCCCTTTGATTGAGATGAAGTCATTTCCTGGTGATTATTGATCGCCAACTGGGACCACGCATCTTTTCTTCCAGACTTAGCATGGTCTTCTGAGGTTGGGATCTTGGTGGTTGGAGGCTCTCCCATTGTGGAGTTTCTCGGGATACGAGATTGGCTCGCTATTTCTTCGGCATCACTTCGATCCAAAGTGTCATTTTGAACGTTGAACTACTGCTGTGGAGCCCTCTGCTGCGGAGAAGGGTTATTGAGTCCAGGTGCCAGTGGTGGATCTGCTGGCTCGTTCTGGCGTTCGAGTCGTGGGGCAATCGGCGGATCATTCTGCCGAGCATTGACTCGAAGTCCTTGGCGCAGAGCATTGATTTACGCTATGTTGGCTTCATTAGCTTGTTTGAGTGCGTTGATCTGCTCGACAACAGTTTCATTGGCTTGCCGAAGAACGTTAAACTGCGTTTGCATCTCTTCACGCATCTTCTGAATGATTTTTTGTTATTGTGCTGGAACAACATCTGATCCTATCACCATCCCGGAGCGATGTCACATGTAATTGAGAGAAAAATGGCTTTTTGTAAACGATTTCTCACAGACGGCAACAAAGTGTAGGTGTAATTTTTCACACCCGAACACTTAAGAAAATTTACCAAAAGAATTATGAACAAATGAATAGAGATTAATAGATGAAATTGACAGTGAGAGCAGTCTGATTGGAATTCCATCTCATTCTCTTTTTATTCATACTTTACTTATAAGCCTATATAGAGATTTACATGGAGCCGTTACTGGTGATTTTTGGATATGGGCATTTATGGCCCCTTATATTGTGGCCCTCTCTTTTATGGTGGGCGTTAAGGAAATTTGAGTTTGTCGAACTTGGGCCATCCCCTGGTCTACTTCTTGTCAAGTGGAGTTTCCTTAGTTAATAGGGCCGACTTGACATTCTTGTGGACCATTTTTATTGGGCTTCTGGCTTGTGCTGGGCTTCAAGGCTATTTTGGTTTGTAATAGGCTTTATACTCATTGATACGTAGTGTATTCTGATTGGTGGGGAGTTTTCCCTCCACAGCTTATAACTTGCACTTCCTTTGGGTCTTTTGGGATGTGAAAAATTGTAAAGCATTTATACTTGTTATATGGAAATGTGAGCCTAATTGTTTACTTAGTATATGTTGATGTTTATAATATTTATGGTATAGAATTGTTATTATTTTGTCTTACACTTACTTTGGGTTTTGGAAATGTCAAGCATGATAGGAAGAGGTAAATTTTGGTATTTGGTTAATATACATTTGCCTAATCACGTTTTATGAGTAATTTGTATTATTGTGGATATTTGTGAGCGTATGTGTTTATATGCTTTTAAAATAATTAATTAAATGTCTACTTGTGTAGCTTAGACGTTTTTATTGCATTGAGATGATTTAGTTAAATTTCATCATGCAAAGGTCATGGTGTGTGTGGCACTTTGGCCATGGGTTCATTGTAGTTATTATTGGCTTCATGAGTGCATTGGGTGTATAGCACGGCATTCATGGTATATGTATTTATATTAAAGGATAGTCGCTATCCGAGCTTTGAAAAAGTGGACATCGAGTCCAAGGGTTGAAAGTCCCTAAGAACACTTGGCCAGTGTGGGTTGGTGCACCAATTTCGTTTTTATGTGCGGGATTTGATTCTGGCATGGTTGATCACCATTATTGCATTATAGGTTATCATCATTTTGCATTATAGGATTTATGTGTTAAGTTCATAATTCATGGGATTATATGGAATTGATTATGGTTATAGTTTCGTGGTTACCATTATATGATAATGTGCCTTATGTAGTTTATGGTTTATTGTGTTAGTCATTTGATGACTTGGTGTTTTGGATGCATGACATGATTATATGCCTACTTGTGTTGAGTTGGACTATCATGCTACGAAAATTAGAGTTATGGTGTATGATCCCTTTTTATTTCACGAAGCTTAGGCTTTAGGGTGTATGACCTTTTATCGTTGGGAAGCCTAGCAATTTTGCATGTCTTTGGGATTTTGAATGACGAATTTACTTATATGATCCATTCCTTATTGAGTGGCTATGTTCACCCCCTATTATATAAACATTTTTCAAGAACGGAGTAGCGTCGGATGATTTGAGTTGAAGACTCACTTTTGGGATCATTTGTGGACTTTTGTCCATTTTTCTTTTTTCGGATATATTTCAAATGTAATTATGCTATCATGTATATTTTAAGATTTCAAACTTGATGTAGTAATCTTCTCACTTTTGGAAAATGTAAATTTATGTTTATTTTAGAAAAATATGCATATTAGTCTTCAAAGATTGTATTTGAGGCCAATGAGCCATTATGAGGTTTAAGGTATGCTTTGCATGTTAAATGGTTAGTTTTGCATGTTGTGATCGTTTATCAATGTGTTATAGTATTTTCATACCATATTCCATCTTGCATGACACTTAGAATTTCAGTTTTGAGGCCATAGGGTGGTTGTTTCATTTTCTGGTTTTGTAGTAGAGTTTTCTGCATTTTTAGAGTCATTTCGGTCGACCGGTACTCCATTTCGGATGACCGGTATCTATTACCTTTAATTGTAACTTAGGATAGTTGGATTTTTCACTGTTGAAACCACATTCGGTCGACCAATTTGCCTGCAAGTTGGCTAGCCATGTGTTTGGTCACTTGCCTTGCATGTTAAGGTCTTCATAGAGTCCCTATTGCATGTCTTTGACTTCATATGAGTTAATCTAGGTATGAATGTACTTAGTATGTTCCTTTATGTGTCCCTCGGTGCCACCCTTTTGTCCTTTTGCTTCTGCATTTGTATTCACATTGAGTATTGTTACCTCGTTAGAAGACCTTCCTTCATCCAAGAGGTGACATTTGTCTCTAATGACCTCTTCTATTGTTATTGCTTCCGCATTTTAGACTCAATATCGGGTCAGGCTCCAAGTTACTCATTAATGCTTCGGGTTCTTGAAATTTAGGTCGTTACAATAATGACCCTATTCGAATTTAAAATGAATAATTTATGAGTGTTACATGATCGGATTAAAAAACGGGCCAATGCATGAACAGTGGCTACGACCGATCATAAGGGAGGGGTGATCGGTCGTCTAGAAGCCATCATTCTGTCCAAAAATTGAAATTAGGCCTCAAAATTTAATTTCCAAGGGTCCGATCAATCGTTGGGTGTCCAAATGAACTCAAATGACCCAGGAATGCCCTGAAATGGACGATTTGGTTACCATAAGCTACGAATGAGTTAGGAAGATCATTCTAAGGTTTAACCTTGCACCAAAGCTTTCCCTAAATAAATGGATATATATATATATATATAACATGGATTACATCATTCATAAACACCATGCCAATTCTAACCCTTTATACTTCACTAGTTAAAGATACACACAAATCATAATTATGACCAAAATAACATAATAACATTACAAAATTCCTCTTGTGAATTTTATCTACACTTTTACATAAATTACACTAAAAATAACTTTACAAATTTCAGAGGTAAACTATTGGGCATATGCTAGAAACATTAAAACAAGTCCCTAGAGCCAAATATGTCCTCCTCTAAGCTTTATGGAAATAATCCATTCATTACTTCGTCTATCACCTGAAAATGTTTAATAATAATAGGGTGAGCACGACAACTCAGTATAGTAATCCTAAAACACATCTCTTAAAGACTCGTGAGTAACATGTAAAAGAATGGAAGGAGAGGTGGATCATATCCGAAGGAATAAGGAAATATCTAGAAATCCATACATAATATTACCACAAAACCAAGTCATCATATATCCATCATAGCACTATACACCTCAACATAATTAAATTTCATGCGAATGCCTCACGATATTCACGCACCTACACCCTTCAACTTCCATCATTCACTTTCCATTCAACCTAACCAAGACTCAACCTCACAAGTCGACACAAGTGACCCCAGCTAAAACATAAGGAAACATGGATAAATGACCCTTGTTGCAATACATAAAACTCACGGGTAACCCCCGTTACAAATTGTTGGTCCTAAGCTGTCTTAAGGATGTTGCCTGTTTAATGTCAAAAGCCTTGTTTTTGTTGATTCAAGTATGATCTCTACCTATATTGTGGTTTGAAATAAGGTCCAAGGGTAATATTGTTATTTACTGCTAAATAACACAATTTATACACTGGTCTGAGATAGTGCATTACAATTTGTTTACCTGTCTTAGCTGAAAACATGATGCAGAGAAGGTTTAGTTCTTCAAATTTAGTTACAGGTGTTCACAGGGGCATTATGGTCTTTTCTCAGTTATATTACATGTATATACGTGTGCCCTGATAGCTGCATTGCACTGAACAGCCTTGGTTGAACCTACATTGTGAATTATCTAGCCTCAGGACTATTATTTGGCTGAGAAGGTTAAAAACTGTTAGAAAGGTATGTTGGTCCTTTCCAGCTACACTCAAGAGTGTGTCACATCTCAGTGGTCCTAGAGAGATAGTATATGCAAGAATATTACCTTTCTTAGAGGCTAAGTCTGGATAGAATTGGAATTACAACATACAAACTTCTAACCTATTAAAGCTGGTGAGAATAGTGACAAAACAGTTGAAGTGCCAGGCCTACATTGGT